CTGCATCTGCCCGTCGGCGCTCACGTGGAAGGAGTAGGCGCTGGAGGGGGGAGGGAAGCATCAGCAAGACCCAGTCCCCTGTGCAAACTGAGTCCGGTTCTCCCTCTACTCCCAGAGAGCACGTCACATTAATAAAAGCCCAGCATCAAACCCAACGCCTCCTCGAAGCCGGGGGGGGCTGGGGGTGATGTAAAGGGAAGGAGCCTGCTCGGAGCCCGCTCAGCATCAGCAGCGGGATCTGCTTTGCCATCCAATGCCAGGGCGATGCCCAACATGGAGAGGTGGCACACAAGGGGAACCCCCACCCCAGCTCAGCTGGCAGCCCCCCACCAGAGGGGTCTCCCCCGCCCTGGCGTGTGCAGCACTTACGGTTTGCCCGAGGTCCCCGCCTGCATGCCGGCCGACAGCCCCGGGACACGCATGTGGCAGTGCGGGTCATAGCCGACCTAGCCAAGCAGAGAAGAGAATTCCCTTCAGCCACCCGCAGGAGGAGGAGGCCGGCCGCCGTCCCGCCACCCTGCCGGCGCACTCACCAGAGGGGAGCGGCCGTAGCCGGCGGCTCCCACGGCCGCCGCTGCCCCGTTGAGCTGTGAGGACACCAGGTGCAGCCCTGCATAGGCCCCAGCCCCGGCCATGTCGCCGTTGACGGAGGGGTGCGCCAGGCTGAAGGCGGCCGGGTAGGAGCTCTGCATGGCCAGCGGGTTCCTCAGGCCCAGAGCTGGGAAAGGAGAAAGTCATAGGCCTGGTCTACACTAGGACTTTAATTCGGATTTAGCTGCCTTAATCCGAATTAACCCTTCACCCGTCCACACTACAGAGCCAGTTAATTCGAATTAAAGGGCCCTTTAAATCGATTTCTGTACTCCACCTCGACGAACGGAGTAGAGCCTAAATCGATTTTGTTAATTCGAATTAGGGTTAGTGTGGACGCACACCACCGAATTACTGTATTTAAGTTAATGGGGTAGTGTGGCCGCACACCACCGAATTAATGTGGTTTAAAACCGAATTAAGGTGCTTAGTGTGGCCGCGCACAATCGAATTTATACAACCTGTTTCCCAAATTCGAATTATCTAAATTCGGATTAATCCTGTAGTGTAGACATACCCATAGGGATAGAGGAGCAGCAGCAGCCAGGACCCGGGGATGGGAGGGAGGAGCTCAGGGCCAAACCAAGCTATGGCGTGAACAGGCCCAACCGCATTGCGGTGTCTGGAGCAGCATCCGCTGGCCACACACGGGGCTAGGCACGAGCATGGCCTTGCTCGACGCCCGCTCTAGCCCAAGGGTAGAGCGGAGCCACCAGCCAGGGGTTGCTCTGGCCACCTGCCGCAGAGAACGGTCCCGCCAGCTTCCGCCACCACCGTCTACAGGGGGCACAGAGAGCTGGCTCTCGCTGCCACACCTGTGCATCTCGACACCGAGCGACTCCCAGGTCAGTCCTGCTTCCCGACGGCCGGATCTGCTGATGCCGCTGGCTTTGAAGCCCTGCCTTTGGCAGAGAGGCGGCATCCCGCCAGGGGTGCGCGTGAGGTCGTTCGCGGATCCTTCCGCTGGGCGTCAGGCGTGGGCTCGCTCAAGCGCCCCCTGCGCCCGGCAGGGCAGGCACCATGCTCGAGGGGCACGGACAGGGGAGCTGCCTTGCTGACCGTCGGGCAGCTGGCTCTGCCTTCGGCTGCTCCCCTCATTCAGCCCTCGCGCCCAGCAAGGCTCCAGCCCCGGCTCTAGGGCCGCCCCACGGCTTTGGGAGCTGCTTGCTGGGTACCTGGAGCCAAGGTCTCATTCTCCCAGGACAAGGCCTCTTAGAGCCACCGGACTGGATATTGCAGAGGTGGAGGAGGCGGCCCCATCACACCACTCCACCCTAGCTGGGGTGCCCTGTCCCAGCAGCCTGGCCAGGCTCCAGGTTAGCCAGGAACGGCCCGTGGTGCCACCTCTCGAGACATGGGAAGCATCAGACTGGGGTCTAGTCCCCTGCACCAGGGCAGAGCCAGAGACGGCAGCGCAGGCAGCCAAAGCCCAATCTCCTGGGTCACCACAACAGGCTGATTTGCATCCAAGTGCTGAGTGACTGCGTCTCGCTGCACCCTGCCCCACGGTCACTGTAACCTCCGTCCCCATCCCCAGCCTCCTGCTACCTAACGAATCCACCGAGGGCTTTGCCGCCCCCGGGCGGAACTGCTGGGTGGCGCTGCTGCTACTGGAGCCTGGCACCGTGGCGTCTCCTTGGGAAGTCGGGGTGCTGGACTTCAAACCGGGAGTTGCGGCTTTCTCCACCTGCAAAGGAGAGAGTCTGACTCAAAACTCAGCCGCAGCAGCAGCCTGGAAATCCCCCGCCCCCACGGGTGCCGCCTTCAGCCAGGGCTTTTCTGGGCACCGCGGGCTCCAAACCCCTCCCACCCACAGCGCTGCAGCCCCCCACTCCAAACTGGCAGCCATCCAAGCCTCTGATTTACTGCCTGGTTGGGAGCAGAGAGCCCAGCCTGGCTTCCCCCCCGGAGCCCGGGCCCCAAACACCGCTGTGAAATCGGGATGCTCCCTTGGGCACGAGAACGGGGAGACGGAGGGCTCTGTAGGGCGCTTGGAAGCTGGTAAGCGGCACTTGGCAGCAGGCCAGCTACATCCATGCCCCCCACGCACAGGGGTTAGCACAGGAGCCTGGGGCCGTGGGGAGAAGGACCCTGCGACAGGCCAGCAAACCCACCTCACCCAGGGCAGAGGCCGCTGCCAGAGGCCATCGCTAGGACGGTGGCTGCACGAGACGCCCAGGAAACACTGTCCTCCTCTCTCCCCCTGGAGCGGGCAGCCTGCATCTGCCCTTGCAATGCCTTGCGTGGCTGGTGGGGTGGACTCCGCTCCAGCAGAGCTCTCCTAGCCCTCCCGCACTGGCAGGCTGCACACGGGGCTGGCGAGAGGCGGAACAGCCCCGCTCACGCCAGCAGGGGCACGAACCGCTCCGCTAGCCCGAGGCAGAGCGACCCAGCACGTTGCGCCGAGGATGCAGGCAACTCCTCCGAGCCAAGCCCGGCGTTTGCTCCTGCTGGCAATCGGTGAGGCGGCCACGTGGGGCTGCTTTTACATGGTCACTTCCTGACCGTAATGCCCTGCCCTCTCCCGCCCCTCCCCGGAGAGAAGGGGCAGCCCGTTTCATAGCCCTGACGTCTGAGCAAAGCCAGAGCAGCTGTGCCCAGGACACGTCGGCGTTGCAAGGGGGGCAGCCCGCGTGGGCACACTGGGGTTACGCTAGCTCGCTAATCGGAGCAGAGGAGCTGCAGCAGCACAGAGGGCAGCGGGGTCCGTGCCTAGGGGCCCGGGCAGGACTGTGCCGCTGCGGCCACGCTGCTATCGCTAGCCCGCTCAGAGCTAGCCCGGATACACCGACGCGTGCTGCCCTCGCCCCTCGGAGGCCCCGATTCTGATCTCGCTCCCCCCCCGTGGGAAACGGAGGCCAGGACGAAACCCGCAGGGCGGCACCAATGTGAGATCAGACTCCGGCTCAGCCTGGCCCTCCCTTTTCGCAACAAGGGGAGCGTGCTTCCTCCCCACACCCTACTGCTCCCTGGATAGCAGGAAACCAGTGAACCCCACCAAACACAGCCCCCCCCCCCACATACACACACACACACCGTGGGCTGGTCCTTGCTCCGCGATGGGGAGGTGCTGCTGGACGAGGCCATGGAGGTGGGACTGAGCGGTACAGCCTCCTTCCGCTGCAACGGGACCTTGTCCACCCCGTTCTCGCGGGAGGAGTATGAGTGGACGCTGTGCGGGGAGGAGGGGTCCTGTGGGACAGAGCGAGATCGACCGGCCTCAGGTGGGGGGCTCCGGCTGCTGACGGGTACAGGAGCCAGGCACCTCCCACAAAGCCAGCAGGGAACTCCATACAACAGCCAGAGGCAGCGTGAGCTAGCAGTTAGAGCAGGGCTGGGCCTCTGAACTCCTGGGTTCTGTTCCCAGCTCCGGGAAGGAGGGGGCCTCTCAGGTTAGAGCAGGGAGGAGAACTAGTCCAGACTCCTGGGTGCTCGTCCCAGCTCTCCGGCTCTAGCGATTCGAGCAGGACTCCTGGGTTCCACTTCCCACCTCGGCTACACAGTAGTGCGACCTTAACCTCATAGGGCCAGTTTTGTCTTCAGTAACAGGGCCAGGCCCAGCCACAAGGAAAGTCTAGAGCCCACCAGACTGAGCCGCAGCCCATCTAAACGCCGAACCGAGCCAAGGCATGTTCCCGAGCACTGACCTCATCCACCACCAGGTTGTCCTCGCTCTTGTCCGCATCGCTGCCCTGAAACGCAGAGAGAGGCGCGTTCACACCCAGCAGCCGGCACGGCCCAGCGCACAGGGCGCTGCCCGGCTGGAGATGGGAACCAACGGGTCACGGCACCGCTTAGGCAGCGTCCCAGGGAGGCCTGCTCACGGCTCGGCACACGCAAACCCAGCCTAGAAAAAGGAGCGGTAGAGGGGAGAGGCCCCCCCACTACCTCCTCTGCCCCCCGTCCCGGGAACCACGCCCCCACACCAGCAGCTGCAAAGAACCACTCACGTAGTCCGTGACGAAGTCCTTCTCCTCAGCCTTCCTCTTCTTGCTGTTGCTCAGGTACTCCGAGATGGCTCGCACCCGCTCCCCGTTGGGCAGCGCCAGGGAGCTCTGGGGAACGAGATGAGGAGCAGCTGTGTTACGAAGCTGAGACAGCAGGCCCCGGCTTAACTCCCCCCGCCGTCCCAGCAGGATGGGCAGGGATAACGGCAGAGCCCCCTACCCTCCACCCCATGGTGCACAGGAGACGTTCCCACGAGGCCACTGCCTTAGGACAGCTGGACTCTGCTCTGCCCACGGGACCCCTAAGCCACTTACCCCTCCCCTGGCTGCATCTCTCGAGCAGCACGGGATGAACTGAAGCGCCGTTCGCCTCCCCCACTCAGCAATGGGGGCAGAGCGTAAAGCCGGAAGGGGGATCCGGCCAGGAGGCGAGCTCCTGACTCTAGACCCAGCTGCCGGGCAGTCGACAGGCCCTCCCCCACCGGGACGCGGCTCCTCCAGACCAAGCTTGGGTCCCAGTTCCAGTTCACAGCAGAAAGCGGGGTGGGGGCGGGGCAGGGGCAAGAGACTGGGTCAGAAAGACACAGGAGTGAGCTGAGCTCCATGGCCCCCAGGGCTCCGCTGACAGCTTGAGGCCACAGCCCCCCCGCCCCCCGGTTCCCACTAGCCAGGAGGCTGGGGCCCCAGAGGTTTGCGCAGGGCAGCAGAGCAGGCTGGCTGTGGGGATGCACACAGCAAGCTTTGCAATCTGGGAGATCTGCCCCGCCCCCGGATGTGAGTACTCCCACGCCTGCTGGACCGAAGGTCGTCCTCTTTCCCCTACTGGCACGTCTCCGGGCACCCCCTGATTTGTGGGTAACAGGTTGCATTGCAGGAATGGCTCCAGTTCACCAGCTAGAACCCACAGCTCTGCCCTCAACCCCAGGTCACGGTGCCCCAGGCTTTGGCCGTCCCGGACTCGGGCACCTGGCAAGCCAGCTACCGGGGGCAGATGCAGAGATCTAGGCTGGAAAGGTTCCCACTGGCAAGTCCCTGTCTGCTCTGTGGCAGCCAGGGGGACACCTAGGGATGCGCTGGCAGAGAAAGGAAACTGCTCCCCGACTCAGACGTTAGCAGGAGCTAGGATTCCTGGCTTCCACTCCTTGTGTGACATCCCCCTGCCTCAGTTTCCCCATCACTAAACCAGGCATAAGCTTCACCGGCCGCCCACGCACCATGGGCTGCTGTGGATCCAACACAGCCCTGGCATCAGAAGGGCGGTACCAGACCAACTGGAGTCAACGGGAACTGCACCCGTGGGGCTCAGCTGGGGCCCTACTCTCTGCACAGGGCATTGAGAGCTGCAGAAGGGGGGGGGGGGGGGGAGAGAGCAGGGGTGGCAGGCGAAGGAAGAGGGAGATGAACCCAGCAGCCCACGATGGGAAAAGTCTGGATTGGCAGGGCCGGGCGGGCACAGAGGGAGGGCTGCCAGGGTCACAAGCTGCAGCAGCGTCAGCCCGAACAGGAAGATTTTGCCCAGCTCTAGCCCTAGACAAAGGGTGCGGACCCCACCCCCCAAAACTGCATTCCAAGGGGTGCGCCGCTTCCAGCCCCCATGGTGAGCTAGAGGGTGGGTTCATGCGAAGCCCCCTCTTCCCCCCATACGGGGGTGCCATGCACGGCCTGCCTCCCCGGGCAACACAGAAGGGGGGGGGAACGGGACAGGAAAGAGATTCAATCCACCATGACCTTGGCCGCCTGGCTGCCTGCCAGCTCCTTACCAGCTGCACACAGCGAGGATGCTGCTTGAGGTTGTAACCCCTCTTCCGCCAGACCCGCAACCTCCTCCCCCGCCCTGACAGGAGGGAACCTCCCCCCCCACGGCTAAAAGGAAGCTTTTAAAGGCCCCCCCCCCCCAACCCAATCTCCCTGGCCAAAGCCTTTCGCAGCTGGAAGGAAACAATAAGCGGAGGAGGAGGAGGAGTACTTACGGGACCCAGGTCTCGCTCTGTCTCCATGGCAACACGGATCAGCAGCAGGGCAAGAAAGGAAGAGAGAAGAGGGTGCTGCTTTCATCTCCGAGGTGCCCCCCCCCCAGCATGCACACGCTGTCCTGCCCCCCCCTTATTCCTCTCACAGGGAGGCAGCGTCTGCTGCCACCCACCTCTGCAGCTTGTGGACAGGACAGGCTGCTAAGCCGGTCCCCAAGACCAGCCCGGCATGTTATTGGGGCGCATGGCGTGGGGGGGGGGCAGCTCCTTGCTGGGGGCATATCCTGCGCCCTGCACCGCAGTGTCCACCCCGGGGCAGAGCCCTCCGCCCCAAACCCAAGTGCTCGTTGCACCCCCTGCTAGCGGCTGGGGAGTTCCCCCAGTACGTGGCTCCAGGCGGAGGAGCCAGGCTGCTGCCTGAAATTGGCTGGAAAAGGCCCTCGCTGCAAGAGACCCCCTGCTGGCAAGGACCTAAGGGAAACTCAAACCCCCTCCCCACCATCCAGCCTCTACCCAGAGAGGGCCAGATCCACCAATGCCCCGATCCACCGATGCCCCGGCCCATGCCCAGTCGTGCTCAGTTATGACCGAGGCTGAATCTCTACCGTTTCCACCCGCAACACTTCGCCCTGTCCAATCGCTAACCCCAGTGCAAGAGAGCAGGGTGCCCAGAGAGTCTGAGAACAGCCTTTACGCTCCGGCCAAGGCTGGCCGGGATGGGGCTTAACCCCAGGGCTCTGCTCCCCCTTGCCAGCCGTACCTCAGGCTCCCTACTCTCTCTGGAGTTCACCATCTCGACAACTAGGCAGTCAGGGTCAAGTTTCCCTGCTCTCCCAACCCCCTACACCCCAGCCCTACCTCTGTGCTCGCTGTCGTGAAGTCCCCTGTCGTCCTTCGGGAGGAGCTGGCCCTGAGCTCCCAGGGCCCCGGACAGAGCCAGCAGCCCAGAAGCTCCACCGATGCTGGGCTGCATGCCGGAGGGGTGAGAGGTCAGCGGGATGGGAGGGGCGTGGTGGGACAGGTGCTGCGCCTGGAGCTGATGCTGTGGAGAGAGAGCGCGGAAGGCCGGGCGGATGAGAGGCCAGCGCCTGAGAGGAGGCGTCTGCTTTTCCCCACCCTGCCCTCAAGGGCCAGGCCAGCCTCGCTGACTCAAGGCTGAGACCCCGTGCAAGCCAGGATCTCCAAGAAGCTCACTCCATCTGGGAAGGAACCAGAGGTCGCTGCCCGACAGCGGTCAGACGGCAGGCTGTCCGGGGCCCAGAGGAAGTTTGCCTGGCCACTGCCGCCCATGTGGTACCTGCACTACGGACAGAGGACGTCAGTCTCCAGAGCTCTCAGTCCAGCCCCTGGCACCGGCGCTACATCCGCTTTAAGAAATAAAGGGAGAGGTCAGAACTACAGCGGCGGAAGGACATGAGTCTGGGCCTTCCCTGAAGCGGGCTCCCAGGTAACATCCCAGACAGGGTAACAGCGGCCAAAGTAACCTCCTTGCCTCCGCCGCAGCTGTCTTGGCTTCCCCCGGCCACCTAAGATATCACAAGCCAGGAGCCAGGCTGGGCTAGCAGCGCAATTCACCATATACAACAATCCTCTGCTTCAGCCAACCACCACTTTCCCCCTTCCTTGGTCACAAGTGAGTTTTGGATGGCTACTGTTGGGAAGATGGTGGCAAAAAAAAAAAAAATCTCTTCCCAATAGGGCCCCTTGTCAATTTCGCTTGGAAACCAAAAAATAAACCCCAAGCCCATCCCTTTCTCCAGCTGAGTCCCTAACAGTCAATGATGTCAATGATGATCCACTTTGCATTCTGCACACTTGACTTTCTACATTTCTCTCTGTGGGGCCAGAGGAGTCGGTTTCCCTCTTGTTTAGAGTCCTGTTTCAGTTGCATTCTTAGGGCTGAAACACCCAGGTGGCAAACTACAGCAGGGAAAAGTCTCTGTTTACACTGCCACAAAGCTGGTCAGAGAAGCACCTCGCTTGGCGTTCCTTTTTTATAAGAACGTTGTGGGGGTATTTGATTTTTTTTTAAAAATCAATATGGAGTATGAATCTGGAGTCACAATATAGCTTGATTGTGTCCTCTCAACCAAAAATAGGCATGGAAGGGTCAGATTTTTGTTGGTAAATGTTATTGTCACAATATACACACACATTTTCGATTAGTATTGCTGGAAACACAAACAGGCCAAGTAAGAAAAATGCTCCTTGCGAACTCAGTGTTTGATTTAAGAGTTTATCCATTTGTATATTTTGACACGTGACAGGATGTTGGTAGTTTGTGTTTTAATGGTTATAAGTATTGGCTATTCTATCCATAATTTCCCACAATGGTGAAAATGTAAACATATGTAAAAAAAAGGAAAAAATGCTTTAAAAGAATTGATATTATTCATCAAAATGATATATAAAAATATTGAACTGAATTCTGCCAAGCCTTACTAAGAAGCGGTGATGTCTGTGGCTAAGTAACCCCACACAAACATACCAGCCCACAGAATCCTCGGCACCCAAATCTATTGAGCAGCAGCAGTAATAAAATAAATACACACATCAATTATCCAGCCCTGCCATGATCCAGCTCCATCATTTTTAATGGATTCCTCCTAAGCAGCGCTCCTCTGCCCCACCAAGGTATGCAAGCGCTAATACTCTTCGATCCTCATTTGGGAGAGCCTCTTCTCCCCACCCCCTCTTCTCCTGCATCATTTGTCCTGCTTCTGTCACATCCAGGTCTCTAAGCCTCCAACTCTCAGCTGCGTTCAGCCTTCCCATCACAGCTTGTAAGAGCCAAGCTGCCAGCCCTCCCCGCCACAAGGATCCATAACGCTTCCTCGGCTTCTGTGCCGCACACTGGCCTCCGCGAACGCCACGTTTTGTTCCAGACGCTCTGCTCGGCGTCTCATGTCCCCAATCCTTGGCACGCCGTGCCAAATCCAATTACCCTGTTCCATTATCGTTTTCACGTCCCTACGTTTAAAGGCTCTCATAATCTGCTCATTAAGTGCGGCTATGGAGCAAGTTGTCACCGCTCCTTTATTGGGCCCCGCTTCCTTCCTCCGGTTTTATTTCTGCCAGCATCTCACATGCTTCCCCTCCGCTCTCGGCCCCAGGGCGGGATTATGCTTCCCTTATCCTCCCACCACTCAGTACAAAATCCCCTGCAAAGTCCCCCAGAGGGCTGGCTGCGTGTCCCCATCCATCCACCTGGCTGACAACTGGCCTGACACAGAGACAGCCATCCCAGCTCCCCCGGACACACATTCGCCAATTTTCAAGGGGGCTCGTCTCCACGCTCGTCACCCCATGTCCCTGACCAACAGGGCCGGCTCCAGGCACCAGCTTGCCAAGCGGCTGCTTGGGGCGGCCACTCCGGAGAGGGGCGGCACGTCCAGCTATTCGGCAGCAATTCGGCGGACGGTCCCTCACTCCCGCTCGGAGCAAAGGACCTCCCGCCGAGTTGCCGCCGCAGATCGCGATCACGGCTTTTTTTTGGCGCCGCTTGGGGCGGCAAAAACCCTGGAGCCGGCCCTACTGACCAATAGCTCTTCTCCGGCCTTCGACACCTCACACGGTCCCCCACGGCCAAGAAGGGGGCAGCCCAACCTTAAGACAATTCTAGGGCCCGCGCCCGGTGGGGACTGAACGGGGTTGGGTTAACGCACTAGCCCGTCCGTACTGGAGAGGGGGCGGTTGACGCTCAGAGGGCATTTCCAGGGAATCTTTGGAGGCACGCGTTTCGCTGGCATCTCAGGAAGACGAAGAGAAAGGACCCTGCCCTCCAGTGAACGGCGCCGACCACCCCCATCCTGCGTGCATGGTGCATCTCGCTGGCAGAACACAGGTGTGGAGGACCTATGGGGTACCTACAGCACCGGCCCTTTAAAAAACATCCTCCCCCCCCCCCCCCCCCAGGGTTCCCTGGAACTAGGAGACTCCGCTCCCCAGGGGGGCAGGGCAAATTTTAAAGGGCCAGGAACCTCAATAAAGCAGCTTAGGATTCTAAGTCAGGGAAGCTGCTTCCCACCTTGCTGTTAGATGCCAGAGCTAGTGGAGTGCTCCCCTCCCTCGTCCTCCCACTGAGCTCATTATGGGATAGAAGTCAGGCATCAGCCGAGGTCCCAGACAGCAGCCGCTCTGGCTAAAGTAGGACAATCCCCTCTCGGATGCTCTGAGCTGTGGGAGAGGCACCCCCCGGTGCCGAGAGAGCCCGCTACTGGGGGACATGGACCCCGCCTCGGACGGGCCAAGAGCCCCTCCCCACGGCCCCGGGCGGGCAGAAGACCGAGTTAAACCCCGGGAGGGGCAGTACACACTGTGGCCAGCAGCGGGGGACGGTCCACATACCCCGATTGCCGCGTTCAACTCTGCCATAGTCACCTGCTTGGCTCGCTCCACTGCCTGGACCACTTGCTGCTGATGCTGGGAGGAGACAAAAAAAATCCTTTGGTCACCTTTAAAAAGGCAGGGAAAGGAAATGGCATGACCTGACCCTTCCCCACCCGCAGGCGGAGGTGCCTGGCTTGCCCAGAGATTAGGAATACAGCCTGGGATGTTCCAAGCCGTGGCTGGAGCCAGGCCCGCCCAGGCAGCCTGTACGAGCCCACGCACCCCCTGCCCGCAGAGGCAACAGGTCCACCTCACCTCCTGGGACAGGAATGGGATGAGCTGGGCACAGATGACATTGAGCCGCTTGGCGATCTCCGTCTGGAAGGAGAAGACACGCAAACGTCAGCAGCACCTTTGAGCTGCTCCTGTTGCACTTCCGTTCCCCCACAGGCTCGGGCCCCTGGGCAGGGCTCACCACGGCGTGCAGAGACCTTCAAGAAACACCCCCCACTTTCCTGCCAAGGGCTGCCCGTTGGCCTAGCCGCCAAGCCAAGAGTGATCCAGAGCTAGGAGACGCTGTGCCCATTAGAGAGCCCAGGAGGAGGAGCACAAACCCGTGTCCTGACCCTATTCTAATGCAGGGGTTACCTTCCGCCTCTAGAATCCCACTGCAGCCACCCCACTTAAGCCCTGTTGTGCACCATCGAAAGCTTCGAGCGTGTCACGTGTAGATCCCCTCACTGCCAATGCAGAACGGCTGATGCTAAGCAGTTACCATGTCCCATCCCAGATTTGGCTGCATCGCAAACCGAATTATACACAGATGGGTTCTCCCAGCGCCAATGAGCTCTCACATACACACACACACACACACACACACACACACACACACACCATCCGCAGCTCCGTCTCTCCCCTCCCCGGAGAGGTAGGTAGGTATCACCCCTGTTTACTGAGGGCAAAACAGAGAGTGAAGAGCAGGACCGTGACTGGCTCACACGATCGCTGTGACAGAGCTGCAAATAGAACCCCGGAGTTCTATCGCCCCCCCCTCCCCAGTCCCTCCACGGCCTCTTCTGCTGTCAACGTGCATGCGTGACGCCCCACGCTCCCCATTTAGCGTTACGGGGGGTGAGGGGGGCAGCTTATGCAGCCACCACTCGGTGCAGCAGAAGCCAGTGCCACGTGTGGATTCTCCCGCTCAGTGGAGCAAGCGGAGAGCCACGAGCCGGACAAGTGTGCAGGCTGCCGGGGCTCATTTCCTCCTCGGAGAGCTCCCTGGGAAAGGGGGAGTCTTGGGGGAGGCAGGCAGGCCGTCAGCTCTCCGGGGCAGGGCCCGTTGTTTGTGCAATGCCTGGCGCAGAGGGGAGCTGCTCCAGAACCGGGGCTCCCGGATGCTGCTGCAAGCCAAATACACACTAGTTCCCACCCCTGGCGGAAAGAAGACTAATGCTCCCCTATTCCTGTGCATCCCCCCCCACCACCATCCCCTGGTAGCAGATACTGCCACTCCCCAGAAGCCACTGACACGTCAAAGCCCGTCTGGACGGAGAATGTGACGCCCAAGCAAGCTCTTCATTCATCGCTGCGTCCACGGCCCCCCAGGGTAAGAGAGACACTTATCTGCTTAATACCCAGCTCTGCCCCCTTCCTTGATAGCCACTCTCTGTCCTGCGGGCTCCTTCCAACCCAGGCCCTCCAGACCCAGCAGGAGTCCTGCCGCCCAGCTACAATGAATGGGGGAAGGCAGAGGAACCCCACCCTGAAAGGGCACCGTGTGATCCAGAGAGCACCTGGAGGGGACCGGGGGGTGAGGGGTCCTTACTGCAAGCGACGCCACTCAGCTTCCCTGGGAAACCAAGCAACAGTCACCCCTGGAGAGGTGAGGAACAGAGCCCCCTGCACCCCAAGCCAGTCCCTGCAGACTCAGCCTGCTCCATGTTCAGCGCTCCTCCGGCCTCGGCAGCTCTCCGTGCACGGGGCGGGAAGCCCACTGCATCTCAGAAGCCAGGTCCGAGCATCCAGACCAGGTGCTGACATGCCTGCTATGTCCCACCCCAGAGAAAGCTTCCCCCAGCCCCTCAGTGCAACCATCTCCCCATGACGGACAGCTAATGAGCCATGCAACACCAAATTTCGGTGATAGCATCCTGCCCCCTCCCCACCAATGTCCTGTCAAGATGCCCACCCCGAAACGTCTCCTCTCCCCACCAGAAATAGTTCTCCAGCCCTGCCGAGTGCTAATTGATGCTCTCGGTGGTTTGCCAGGAAGCCCTGGAGAGGTGCTCTCGTTACAGCTGCTGTTTTTCTGCAACACTTGAGTGCCACAAGCAATCAGAAGGCCTGAACGCAGGAAGAGAGCAAGGGAGGGAGAGGAAAAGAGGTGGAGAGAGGACAGCACTGCACTTCAATCAATGCCCCGAGCTACCAAGCTGGGCAAGGCCAGACAAAGACTCCCCCGCCAACGTTCCAGCTTCGAGCAGCTGAAGAAAGCAGTGAATTAAAGAGACAGGGATCCCTTCAAACACAGGGGGGGAAGCCAGGCTGGGGTGACCCTCACAGCCCCCACCCCACGAATCAGCTGGGGGGAGGGAATTCCAACTGAGGAACCCCTTCCTGGGGCTGGTTCATTCACGCTGCCCTAAGGCCTCTCTCTAGCACGACCCAGCTGTGGGGGAAGGGAAGGGTACCTGACACCCCAACTCTCACCAGCTTTGGGCCCCAAGCAGCTCTGCTCTTCCCAACGCTGGAGTGAAGGCAGCTGCTTCTAAGAAGCCACCACAGGCAGGGCGGGAGGCAAGCAGCCGCTGGATTTGCCTCCCAAATCAAGAGACTTGCAGGGCCCTGGTGGGGGCATATGCCCGAGAAAATGACCCACTACAGCCCACTCAGAGCACGCCGGGCAGGATTTGAGCAGACAGAGAAGAGAACATCAGACCCACCCACAGGTGGCCAGAAAAGGGTCCCCACATCTGCAGCCATCGCACACGGGACGCACCCGTGGGAGTCATATGGGCCCGAAGAGATGCTCGGTACCTCCCCCTTTATCGCTATCTAATGGGGTGACCCTCATTCGAGCCACGTGCCGAGGGGGGCTACCGGAGATCAGTCAGAGGCCGCACAGCCTAGCAGATGGGGCACCGGATTGGGAGTCAGGCCAGCGACCTGGGAAAGTCACCTCCATTTAGACTGCAAGCTCTTCTGGGGAGGGCCTTTGTGCGTCTGTCCAGCATCTAGCACAGTGCAGCCCTGATCTCAGCTGGAGCCTGTAAATCTAATGATCCCGTCCTAGATCTCGCTCTCTCACCCAAGAAAAACAAAGCCAAGAGCCATGTGCTCTCTGCATTCCCCCCCCAGCACCAAAAAGGAAACAGCCACTCCCCTCCCCTGATACTCACTAGCCCCCAGAAAAAAAAATTTGGCAGCAGGTAGTTTCTGGGAAGGATTTAGCCATCTCCTGGGGCCAGCAGTGATGGATTCTCCTTCCTAATGCACTGATGGGCAGCCAGCTCCTCGGGGAACGCTGCCTCCAATTCGCTCGCGCTCGTTAATGTGCAATTTACTGGCACTTTAACGCTCTCAGCATGAAAAATGATCATGCTGTTTTCAGGGCTTTTTCTCCCCCCTCCCCAAGCTCCTTCGCTCGCTATTTTGGGTAGAAAAGTCCAAATCCAGGCAGATTTGAGGGTTTTTCCTGGTACAAATAACATGCCAAAAATATCATCTCGCCGGGATCTGCCTGCAGCTTCTCCTGCCTGGACCACGGCAGGGTTTATAGTGCTACACGGAGCAGCCATTAAAAGAAAATCCAGCTTCTCCAGCCGCAGTGCAATGACTCCCCTGTTGAATGCTTAGGGACCAGGGCTTCCTTCCCAGTCCAGGAGCCGGCCAGAGAGAAGAAAGCCATTCCAACAGAGCTTGGCCCGCTCACCTCCCAGCCTCTTCAAAGCTCTGACACAAGAAAGCGGCGCACTCCAGAGTCACACGACACGAGGGAGAAACCAGGCCGCCTGGGGAGAAGTGACAGGGCTTAACTAGAGCGTCGCGCCCGGTAGTGAAGAGCGGCCAGGGTTAAAAGGGATTGGACGGGTCAGTTGAGAGCTGGCGGGATACAGAGCCTTTTGACCGGGTCGCCGGTTCGAAGTCAGCCAGAGGGCAGCAGCGGCGGAGAATCCCGGCACGCGATGGCGACGCCAGAAGAAGCGGATCGCCTTCGTCTCGTTCCGAACGGACGCCTTTAGCCATCACAGCTGCCCCATAGCAGCCGCCCGCTGGGCGCTCGAGACGACGGGGTTTTGGGATCCTTCTCTGAGCTTATTGAGAGTAGGGCGGGCGACCCGGCTCAGCGAGACGTGCGTTGGGTGGACTCTTCCTTGGCCGGACCATTCAGACGCTTGTCCTTTTTATTAACGAGACTCCTTATTGAGCATTAAGTTAACGATGCGCTCTTTATGCCAGCAGCTAGCGGCGTGCGATAAAGCAAAATAAAATAGGGCTTGTGCGGGTTGGTAGAGGCAGCGGGCCGGGGACCCGGGGCATTAGGTTGCCTGCTGGGGGGGCGGGGTGGGAACGGGGACAAGACCCAGACTAAGGCTCCACTTGCGACGACGAGCCAGCCGTGCAAAGGAGAGGTCCCATCTCCCCACAGCACCGATAACCTGCGGCCTTCGGCGCGGGCAGCTCCCATTTCTCACACGAGGGCCATTGGCTGTCAGAGCGCAGACTTACGGGCCCTCGTTAAAAGTGCAGACAGCACGCTGGCAGGCGGCCAGCGGCACCTGGAATCGGCAGTAAATACTGCTGTCTGCGCGGCGCTGTGAGCGAGCAGCCAGATGAAATGGGGCGGGGGGGGGGGGGGGGGGGGGGAGCGGGGGCTGGCCGCTTCCCGGGGGCCCGCCGCGCCCCGGGCGGGGGGGGGGGCTTCCCTTAGTCCCTGGCTTTACCAGGTGGCCTTTTCCTTCTGCTGGGAAGGCAGCAGAGAAGCAGGCCGGCTACGCAAAGCCAGGGAGCAGGGCAGCCGTCAGTGCAACCTGGAGCTAAGGATACCCCACCACATCCCCCAGTGCTCCTGAGGTGAGGGGGGGGGACAGACCAATCTTGGCTGCAGCCGGGTCTCCAAACCAAACACGACCCTGGCAC